TTATGTTTCTGTTGTTCGCTAAAAAGTTCTTTGTTTTACTACTTTAATTTTAATTCATTTACTTTTGATTTGACAACAATGGTTTTTACAATTCGAAATTTTTTTCCCTTTTGTGACCTTTGTAAAATGACAAAGGATGACATTGTCTTTTTTATTTCTTTAAATGTTTAGTTTTGTATTTGTCTCATAGAAGAAATAGAAGAACTATTAGAATTTTTCTTTATTTTTTCTTATTTGGTAACATGGTACGATTCAATTATGAAGTCAGACATAGTGTTTATCTCGATTTAGTTTTGTTACCATGCGTATGTATCATCGTAAATCCTTCCTTATCAAATCAGTTTTATCATAACCACATGTGCATTATGCATGAAATAAAATTTATTTAATCTATCTTAATATATAACATTAATCTATCTTAATATATAAGGAATGTTATATTTTCTTGACATAAATATTATGTCGTAATTTAAAAATCTATTCGAATCCTTGATTTTATAAAGATAATGTTTACATGGCTTAATATAGTTCAACTGTTGAAGTAATATTAATTTGTAGCGTCTTTTTATCTTTATATGTTTGTTGCCAAATAGCCAAAGGAGGAATTAGAATGCAGATTTGATGATGATCAAAGTCTAGTTTTGGATTGCCCACGTTACAAATATATTTCATATTTAGACTATCAAAACCATTTTTTTTAAAAAACTTTTTGCAATTATTTTTTCGAAAATTCTTATGCAATTTTTATATATTAATCAAAGTTATTCTTTATAGCAATTTTTAATATTAAAAAAATAAGTGGTTATTGAAAAATGAAATGAATTGCTATTGATTTATGTTGTCCTAAGACCGCGTCGTACTTACAAACAAAAGTATATACGTGCCTTTATATCAATTGTTTTCAAATTAATTTTTGAAAATAATGGAAAAAGCGACACTACTGATATTTTATGCTGAAAGAAAATAAACCTCTGACAATTTTTGAGGACAAAGTTTAGAAAATTTATTTGATAAAACATGTCTAGACTAAACAATTCCCACAAGTAACATCCTTTCAACCAAACGTGACTGTGGACTTTTGTTTTAAGATAATATTCGTGATGATGAATATTCGTATGTACCATAAAAATACATAATTAAGAAATTTTTAGGCAAATTAAGAGCTAAAAAATCCATAATAGTTTAACCCATGAAAATGTTTTTTTTATGTTGCCTGAAATATTGCATTTGTTCACATTTTTGATATGCTATTTTTCCAAAAATTCAGTTATGCTTTAGACTTACTAATGATTTTAAACCGAATATAACTCAGTGTAACATTTAAAGTACAAGTGTCTGCACGTTCTGTATTACATTTTATCGATTCGAATAATGTGCTTCCTTACTTAGTCGTTACATACGTGACTTGGTTTCATTTTTTTTTCTTCCCCTCACGTTCTTAGCGAACGTGCAGTAGCCATAAAACTCTTATAAGACCAAAAACCGATTTCGGTTTAATGTCTGCTCCTCCCTACCCCTGTGTAAATTACTTTCATTTTTTTTCTTCACACTTTTCAAAATTTATAACACATAAATTGTACTATTACAATCAGTTAAACGTTGCTTAGTAAAATAAAAAAGGATTTTAATGTATGTTAATCTATCTGGATTCTCTTTTTCAAATTTTATGAAATATTTATATAATGTTGAAAGTGTTTCGCGCTATTAGTTTCTTCACCTTGTAGGATTGCAAATAATTGAATGATAGGTAAAGTCAATGTAAAAAATACTATTTTATTTTGGTACTTTTCGGTTAACGAAAAGTCTCCAAAAAATATAGACCTCCGCCAACTTTTGTTTAACTATTTATTATTATTATTTTCTTTTTTTGGCACAAATCAAAATTGACAAAAAAATTAAATAAAATAAAAATAAAAAGTTGAATTTCTTTGCTCCTTGCTAACCGAAAAGTACTTTTATTTTGATATGAAAGTAATTTGTTGTATTTAAAATCTGAACAAATTATAAAAAATATTACTTGACTCCTAAAAGTACAGATAGAAAAATTTGAAGAAAAAGTATAGATCAAATAAAAATATTTTTTATTTTTGTAAATTTTTTTTGTGTGGCGAAAAAAATGCTGCTTGTCAAAACGGATTGAAGTAACGAAATTGCGTGTCTGGTTTGCTTACTCTTGAAGCAATTTAATATACTATTATTTTTATGAATGTGTCATTTATCGTCTTGAGAAAAAATTGTATTCATTTCCATAAAAATGCGCTTAAAATTTACTTTTAAATGTAAATGTAATGTAAATTATATCTGGGTGCCATTTTAATATTACGGAATCTTGTCATTATTTCAGTTTCAGAAAGAATAATTTAATCACAATGAGTATTTAATTTTTAAAAAAAATTTATAAAAGAAATTTTTGTTTTAATTTGAACTATTAAGTTTTTTATTTTTTTTGACAATTCCATTGAGTATAAGAACAATTTTTCAAAAGTATTGATAAATCTGTGTGAGTGTATTCGTTAGTTGCCTCGAAGGCTTACCTTTCTTCACATCTGTCAGGCGTTGGTCAACAATTAGCAAATTTTGAGTGGAACAGAAGGGAAACTCTCATACACATTCTGTTTTTTTTTTGCTCGCTCGGAGGTTTGAGCAAGGACAAGGCCACTTGGGAATGCGTTTCAAGGAAGGTATAATCGTAGGAAGTTAGCTATGTATGTGGGTTTCTTTTTTTTATCATTATACCTGCCGCAAAAATATTATTATTTTTTTAAATATATTCAAAATACTAATGTATTTGTATATGCAAATGTATAGTTTGACTATTTTAAATAACTTTTTTTAACACTATTTTAATTAGAATTAGCATTTTTGATTAAAAACCTTGCTTTTGAAATTTTTTCTCAATAATTCATGTTCGAAATTTTAATTTCTTAGAAAATTTAATCGTTCTGAAATTTAAATTAGTTTAATTTTAAGTTTTTATAGTTTCTTTTCATTTAACTTTTACACAGTTTAGGTAAATATCTTTAAAGTGACCAGTAATTTAATACTTATTAATTAAAAGGCTTCGAAAAATAGTGCAAATAAAATTAAAAATAATTTAAATAACCTTTTTCTTTATTTGTTGATTGCCTTTTGACTTTAGCTTTGAACTGAAATATGTAAATTGCTTTATCTATTTATAATTTCTACTCAGCAAAATTAAGACGTTTTACTACACTAAAGTTTATTTCAGTTAAATTTATTACATTTGCTTACTCTCGCTCTCTTCAATAATTTTTGTTTCTTTTTTTGTGTACAATTCCTCTCAAATTTTTATAAATTATTTATTATTTTTCTATATCTTTACTTAATTATTTCTTAATATATATATTCTTTCATTTGTCGCGTGCACTCTTGGTATATAATATTTCCTGTGTTACTGTTTCATTAAAATTCATTTCTATTAATTTTCTGTTAAGATTTTTAATCTACATAAATAAAATCTGTAGTTTTAAGTTGAATTTTGTCTTTTCTGTCGATGTGTTCTGGCTGGAGTTTCTGGACATCAAACCCTTCTAAATTTTCCTTTCAATCACCTCTAAATCACTGAATTCTCTGCCAATTTATCGTTAGCTAGTGTCAGATCCTTTAAAGGTATTATTTAAAGGAACTTTTTAAATGACAAGTGACAGTGCAGGTAACTGATTCGTTAATCGCTTGCGATTTATCCTCTTGTTTCAAAAATACAATTACTTAATATGAATTTAGAAATATCAAAATGTGTATTTGTTATAATGATGACGGCATGTTAAATTATTAATAGGGAATGTTTTATTTCATTCAGGTGAAATATTAATATCTTGATGAGAGTGTACTACAACTCTTCCAGCGAATGATTCCCCCCCCCAAATAGAAAAAGAACAATTGGATTACAATTACAGGCAGAAAAATATTTTTGTTTTGAAAGAGCTATTGTTAGATTTGCCTACATTTATATATCCTTTTGAAGCCTAGCGTGAAATATATTGGACCACATTTGCTATCGTTTTATGTTTTGAAAAATGAAATTTTACAATTGTTTTTTTTTTNTTGGGGGGGGGGGGGGCTTTATATTTCTATGGCTTTATAAAGCGGTTATATATGTAAAAATAATTTGTTTTACCCTCGTTGGCTAAAATTTTTTAATTACACTGAAAAATTATAAGAAAGGTAAGAAATTAAATTCAAGCATCATTTTAGGCAGTTTTATGGCATATAAATAAATATCTTATTATTTTAAGTGTTGATTTTGCTTCGTAAACAAAATATGAAGAAACACACTATAAAAATATCCTGCCAAACAAATGCTGAAGATTAAAATGAATCTTTTTTTTAATTCAATAATTCAAAATAATTTAGTAATTGAAATTATTTTAATCTCATTACTGACTTTACTTACTTTTCTAAGCGACATATTTATTAAGTAAAAATAGCCTTTTCTGCTGTCATTTAAAGGCTCTGGAGGTTAAGTAGACTTAATTTTTTTTCATAATAGGGTGGCCAAAATTATTTTAAACGAAATTTATAAATCTAAGAATTGAATCGAATAGCATAAATTTGGCTAATCGTATCTTTCGCCCAATTCGTATAAGTTAGCCGCAATGATATGGAGTTTTTGCCTTGCTTAAAAATTTTAGCATTGTTATTTATGATTTGAACTAAAAACTCATGCAGAAATTAATTTCTTTAAAAACATTACTTATAAGTATTTATCAATACATCCGTTGTTTAATTCAACTATACAATTGTTCAGCAAAAGTCATTCCAAGACCATTGATCATTTCGACATACATATCAATAAGGCAATTCGGCGGGTCTAATTTATAATATGAATGGGTAAGAAGAAAATTATTATTCGTCTCCCTAATTGAGTGTCCTCATTTTCATTCATAACGCGTCAAAGAAAACAAAAAATTATAAAATTGATATTTTGTATTGAATTTGTCGCGTGTTAATGATGAGACTTATTCTTTTTCCATTTATAGATGAACGTGATGCCATACAGAAGAAAACCTTCACCAAATGGGTCAACAAGCACTTGAAAAAGGTAAGTGTAGTTGCATTTGAAACAAAGATTATCATTGAATAAAGATTCATGATGCCACAGGTATATCTTTCTCAGAAATCTCTCTCCGTCTCGTTAGTTTACAAGCATTGTTCATACTCTCTGAGGTTTTGTTTCAAATCGTTGACTTCGGTTATTTAGAATGAATGGCTTACTCATATGTACCTTATAACTTTTTTGTTGTTGTTTAAAGTGTGAATTCTTGCGTAATTTGCATCATTCATTTGTTTCAAAATTCACTCGACTTGGACTTTGTACCTCTGTAGTGTCGGTCAAACTATGCTAAAATTAACTTCAAGGTCTTACGAAACCTACGAATTATTGCTGTACAACAAATTATATAACCTCTATTTCAATTACATTTAGGAGGTTCGGTTGGCTAATGTGGCTCTTGAATTTACAATATGCCGCTTTAATCTTGCAGCCACTAATAAATTGAGAAAAAAAAACATACCTAATTAGCAATATATAATAAGAAATTTTATAACTGTTTTTCTAACTAATTTCAATAAACTTAGAAAAATAACTAAAATCCCAAAATGTAGAAATAATAACATTTGATTTGTTTTAAATGTTTAAAGGATATTTTCTTTAATATAAATATTAATTAAATAAACGTGGCTCAAAGACTTATTTAAAAATGAAAGAGACTCTTATATTATAATTAGAAAACCCTTTATGAAAGTTGAAAATATGCTACAAATTTTTATTTCTAAAAGAGAAGGCGAAACGTACAAAACTTTTTTTTCAATTTGAAAATATATATTTTTTTCTACCTTAAAAATTTTATATATCTATAATTTTGACAAATTTAGACTGATCGATATTGTTCTTTTTTCACTAGAGATTTATTAAATTTTATCGATTTGTATAAAAGTTAATAAAAATGATACAGTGGCAATTATTCAATATATGAATTTTAGCATATTTTTTGAAAATATGAGAATGTCGAGTTTTCTTTGATTTAATGTTAAGTTAAACAGCCTCATAAATACTTAGTCTAACGATCCGGATTATAAAAAATAAAAAAATAAATAAATGAAAAATACTGAAATATTAATTTTGTGCAAACTTTAATGTTTCTCTTTAATAATCATTCATTCCATTTTTGTTGTTTCAAAATGGTTTTGTAACTCTGTATTTGTCTAATATTATACAAAAAAGTAAATAAAATAGTACTTTCTGTTAACTTTAGTAAAGCTTTTTTCTTTTAGAATAGAAAAACTAAAATAAACAGTTTTTTATATTTATTTCGTACAAATGATTATAAATGGATCTAAAATCCATAATTATTTAAAACTGTTTAAGCTCAACATTTCAAAATTTCGAAAAAAAGATTATTGAATAGACTCAATAAACATCAACGACACCTTAATTAATATAAATTAGTTACTTTTAAAATCGAAACAATCAGTTAACTAGAATTATACTATTTCATTTACCTATGAGATATGGATAAAAGAGTACTTCGCGTGAATTGTGACTGAAAATTAAACAGAAGAGTACTATATCGAGAAAAAAAAGGCAAATAACAGTGTCGTTATTAATACTTGAATAAATAGAAAACTAGGTATTTATCCTATATAATTTAAATATTAATAAGAAGATAAATAAATAATGCATGTTTGGTGACTGAAGTTATGTTGTGAATATTTAGCTCTTCCCTCTGTATTATTTTTTTTTAGATGGAATTAATCAAATTAGAAACCCTTTAAGGTCAACGTGTTGTTTATTCTTTTGATATATTTTGCCTTCGTCATGAGCAGTTTCATACATTTTTGAATACAAAACCAGTAGTTAGATGAATAATCTATTTCTCACTGACATTGTGTTTGTTTCTTCTTTTATAACAATAAGGTGTTTGAGTTATTTCTATTCAGTTCATTCCTATTTATTATCGTTAAGTATATAACCAGTGATGATGGAATAGTAGCATTTTAATGCTTCTGTTGATGCAAAGCACAGGGGAAAACTAGCCTTCATTTCATAAAAATCACACGGGGCTTCTTACCTAGAGTTATCACATTTTAGAGGGTTTTCTACCCCATGATTGTAAGGCAACTTGATAGGGATTAGTGATAGAGAGGATCTCGGGTTCCCTTTTAGATCGGGTTCACTTGAGCTTAAAATTTTTTAATCTGAGCCCGCTCGACCTCAAGATCTTTATTATTATTATTTTTTGTAAGAACCCGATGAGGTGTTTGAATGTGAGCGTAAAGGGTAAAATAGATACATTATTTGAAATTATGTTATTTTCGGATCACGGCATTGTATATTTATAAATTGTTTATACAAACTTTTTTTTTTCACTCATAACGGAATCAAACAGATTTTTATCTTTTTATATAACTCGTAAGAAAACCTGTTTAACACTTTTCAGGTTAAGAGCGTGTCCTATCACTTATTAAATCTTAATTTTTGAATTAGTTTTGTAGCACTATTTGTGAATAAATAAACTACCTTTAACCATTTATCACCTTTCCAGGCACTTATGCCTTGATAGCATACGTTCTAACCGTCATTATGTTATGTATTCTTCTTTTGATCTTTGAACATGTGCTTAAAAATCAATAACTTATGCAAGCATTTTTTACCTCCTATTTGTCCCAGTATTTAAATGATTTAATCCACGCTTGTTGTGGAATTCCTCCATTTTTGATGAATGAATCGGAAACCTCACACATAATCGTGATCAATAGGTGAGGAGGGTTCAGTCGTTGAGAAGCTGTTTCTTACATTTTGGTTCGTTGACATTGGAACCAGAACTATTCAAAACTTACTGGATGGAGAAAATTACCTTCCGGTGTTGGAGGCGGCCTTCATAAGATAGGTGCACTCGGGTAGATATCAAACCTTTGGCCTTTATCTTTAGTTTCCAAGTTCGGAAATTTTTTTTTTAAAGGAAGTGTTTGTTGTCATGAGTGACTTTTATCACTGGAATTTTATCGCTTCATCTTGATATCTGTCCATTGTTTTGTAATTTAAAGGTATTGGACGCCTCTTTCGAACATTATTCTTGAAAATATCGTCCATTGATGAACGGTATTAGCACTTGTTTGTTTCATTATCGCACGTGTTCAATGTTGCATCTAAATATTTTTTCACGTAGTCGAATCCGTTCTTTTTGTTTTGAGGATGTCATTTTTGTTTTTATTACACGAAAATGAGTCTCATTGTTGGAGTCTATATCCATACACTTAACTGTATAAGTACGCTTTTGTTCATTGTAATATTTTTTTAAATCTATTTTTGAGAGCCAATGAGTCATTTTCATGTCTTTTCCATATTGTTTTTTCCCCCTTCTGTGATATTTATTATTTTTAATGTGATAATGTTTCTAAAAATATTTTCAATATGCATACAGTATTTATTAATTAAAAATGCAAAATTCCAAAACGTTTTGAATAACTTTTTATTTATTTTCAAGTAATTGAATTTTTATGAAAATAAAGCAATCTTGGATTTACGAGATTCCAATTTAAGATACGCTTAATGGTGCAGAGTTAGACGATAATTAAGTTACAAAATCGCATACTAAAATTAAAAAAATTATAATAATAATAAACTTTTATCGACAAATTTTATTTTTACCTCTATTCCATGGAGATAATCGCAATCTTAAAGATCTCAATACTACTTTTAAGTGAACGAATGAAAGTCCATGTTGCCTTATAGTGTTAAAATTTATTTATCTATTTTTTGCTGTATTTTTAGAAATTGTTTGAATCAAAAAAATTTTGTATCCATTTATAAAACTTGATTATTCAAATATAATTTCACGTTAGAAGGTAATATTTTTTTATTTTTATTTATTTAGATAAAAATGGAGAAAAATTTTTGAATCCTGATTTATCTTCTTAAATTTTATTATAAGTGACAAAACTTGAAATTTGAACGAAAGCCTAATAAATGTTAAATAACGTAATAAATGTAATTTTAGTAAACGTTTAAATTTTTTGCGTTTCGCAAACTATTTGAAAGTTCTTTCAAATGATAGAGTTCACCATTTTAAATTATCTATGTTAATTTGAATGTTTATTAGCATGCAATATAATATTATTTATATGTTAATTATATATATAATTCAAATTTTCTAGCATTATTTTTAAATTGGATAATTGTAGATTAGTATGAAAACTTATTTTCTCACTCAGAGTAAATTACCGGCAGCTCAAATTCATATATTTTTGATGGGTACCAAACCCTTGACGAACCGTAAAGATTACCTCTTTTTTTCTTAATCTATTAGGTCAAAAAATATTTAAAGAGTATTTTCTATATTTTTTTTTTCGCACTGCCTATAGAAACATGTATCATATAGAAATGATATCTTCTTTTATGGGAATAATATTGTTTAAATAGTTTTGAAATGCGAAGATTGCTCGTATAGTAAGTCGATTATTCAACAGTTAATAACGATTAATTGCTGTCGTAAATTATTATTACCTGTCATGCCTTCCTTAATGAGTGAAAGAAGAGAAGAAACTCCTTGATACCCAATACTTTTAATAGCATTGACGACTTCATTTACCCAGATTAAATAAATACTACGAAAGAATTTTAAGAAGTTGTGTCCAGGTACTTCTTGTCAATCAACGCTCATCGGCATCCTTTTTAAAAGAAAGACCGAACAACGATGAGTTTTTTTTATTTTTTCATTTCCTTCACACTATAGCCTCAGAGAATATCCCTGAAGCAACTTTTTTTTATTTTCGGCGGCTGTTCGCCCATTCATGTGTGAAGGACTTACTCAACCGCCTTCTTCCTACTTTATTTTTTAGCCTTGTCCCCTACCTACAAACTGACCTATTTGAGCTACGAAATATTTTATAACTGATCTGGGGTTATAGGGTTAAAATTATTTTGTATTGATTTCATTATTTTGTAAATAATTTGTATGACCGATGTTCGTTTAAATAAGTTAAAAGAAGATTAACAAAGCAGAAAAAAAAGAAGAAACAGGAAAAAGGGATTCCTGGAAA